GATGAATTGGGCGATCAGAAGGAAATTCCCATCTAATCAGGAATTTTTATACGTTTCTTTATTTTGATTGCACATGAATGAATAATAAATACAATTACGTAGACTACACGACCACATGACTTTCATAGGACTCATACGCAGAGAGACATTATGACAGGTATAACCTCTATGGAGGTCAGAAGACCGGCTTTCTATAAACCTCGTCATAGATAGTTGATATACTTATTTATATGATCTTATAAACTGATCTTCTTTAGCTGATGCGAGGTTGGTATTTTCCTTCGTGGTCGTTGTCGTTCTCTTTGTTGTTGTTGTCGCTGTTGTTCTTGTTGGCCGATGGCTGACGTTCCGGCGATTTCGCCTTCCTCAGAGCCGTGATGTTACGAGTGCGACGAAGACCTATGCGAACCGCGCATCAGCTAAATAAGATCGGTTTTTATGACCATATAAATAAATATATCAACTTTATGGAGGTCATTCTCATTTGTGGTTTCCTCGGGTAGACAGTTTTTGTTATCACACGTTTTGCACTTAGTTGACACGTTTTTCAATGCAGATCTGATGTCAGGTGTGGAGCGTGAAGTGTTATTGTCTATACTCAATAAATTACAAAAACCTTGTTATTGACTAGTTCATTGACCGGAAATTTGAGTAGTAATTAACTGTTATTTCAACTATAATCGCAGCGATGGATCGAGGTTATCGTGTGGAGTGAGCTGCATAAAAGTGCTAAATCAGTCGCAATCACATGCAGATATGCAAAGCGTGGAATTTCAAAATTTCTTGCACCCAGGTTTCATCTGTTATTTTCCTATGACATTCCACCGCAAACCTAGTTTGCTTCAACAGGCACTTAGAAACGAAGAGAGAGTGCTTGCAAAATCCTTTACCAGCTGCTTGTCATGAAATTAGCTACTATCTCGTGTGCGCTACTATCAGTTGAATGGATAATCGTTTTCTGCTTTACCACTTAATGTCTATGAGCGACAACTACGGTGATACGGTGATGCCAGCGCCATAGCACTGCTTTCATTAGAATGCAGGTAAGGACTGATTTTCTATATCTATGATAATTGTAATAGAAAATCATTGTAACGCCTCATACCGTCGGGTGTCACTCGGNTGTTGTTTGCGGAAGACAGTATCCTTTGTGATTGGTTCATCGTACCCTCCAGAACCACACTGAATAGTGGTCGTATGCTTCTCCCAATAAACCATTGAGGATTTTGTGATGCTGCACTTGCGTCTGGTGTAAAAATGTGAACAGCCACTCTAGACATCTGTGAAGTAAGTCGAGCCGAAGGTTTGACAAGCGGATGTTCACCAACAGAGAAATGTCCTGTTCTGAAATAAGCCTGCTGTAATACCTAACAAAAATCATGTAAGCATTAGAAATCAATGGGGTTTGCAGAATAAAAAGCCTCCTAAAAATATCGGCGCATATCTGTTTTTAAATCCGAAATTCGTCTCATGTATATCAAGTAGTCTGAATGAACATGCCAAAGCATTTTTGTTGAAAATACCTTGCAAACCTTGATTGTTTTCCAGCGAATTCTTTTTAGCGAACGTTGGGGAAATTTCTCTTCGAACTCTGGTTTTGCGAGACACAAAGAATTTAGTTCTACATAAAAATAAATGATGTCAGGTGGCTTGCTATTAATCTTTAAAATACTGCTTGTGTCGGTTGTCTTCAAAGTTTCTAGATAGTATGTCTAAGGGTAGCAATTGGTCTTTTAAGTAGAAAAGAAGATAGGAAATCACTTTGTTATGTAAGCCTTATCACCTGTATCACTTTACACGTCAATGGTGGCTGAGAGCATCGGGTTATTCTCCAGCGAAATACACACGGTGCACTTTGCGAATGTACTTCTACAAGAGCATCGAAAACGCATCGTGTGCAGGTGGAAGCAGTTTTAGGATTACGGAATGGTTCTAGCCGACATCACCATGTACGAAGAAAACCGTCAAAATATTACTGATACATTTTAACTTATTTTAACTTAACTAACTAACAACTTACTGATACATTTACTGACCACATGATACATTTTAAACCGCAGGCTTTGGTTTCAACGGTAATAGCTGAATTCAACTTCAGCCACTCAATTCGGAAGAAACGGTAACGTAGAAATCAGCGCATAGGAGATGAGTTCCTTAACAAGAACTCATTTTGATGGGGTGATTCGATTTGTCTTGAAGAGCATACTATCAAAGTTCCGCATAAATGTCAAAGTTCCGCATAAATGTCAGTTATGCTCTCGACTAGATTCGAGAATTTGAGTTTCAGGTGTCAAAAGAGCAATGTTGACAAAACTACTTTTCAACCTCAAATTCGTACGTACGCAGGGCTCGAAGCATTGATGAGCTATGGAGCCTAGGAAGCATTGGAGAACGCACAGTGCAACGTTGGTTTCAAAAGCAACGTGGTGAATGATTCGACCTTGGGGATAAGGAATGTCGGCATTGTCTCTCTAGCACTAGCGGCGGTGAACTGGAAGTTTGGTAGAACTAAACACATACATACATATCTGTTCGAGAACTTTTCGAAGAACGCGATGTGAACGTTTTAGGCGCTTCCAATGTGGGAAACCAGCCAGAGTTGCTCATTTTTTGCCCTTTCCTTGTTTGCTAAGAGAGTCGCATAGGTGAATTGATGTTTTTGCCGTTTTTTTTTGCCACCTAGTGTACTCAGCTGGGTTCCTTCTATACGAAAAGCAAACAGAACAAACAACATTTTCCACTAGCTGTTTTCACGATAAACTCTATCTATCGAATCAGTGGTCTTCTTATGTGCATCCCGTCACGAATGACAACTAGACGATGGTATGATGTATTCGTAGTTGTCACCGCATTAGCACATGGAAAAGTTCACCGTGTCCGAAGTAGGCTACCACAAATGGCGATGATTGTGCGACAATCAAACGAAGGAAAACGTCCTAGAGCGCGTAACTCGTGGTGAATGACCATTCAAGCATTCAAACAAGCAGGTGTTCTTTGCATTGACATATAACTTGTCAATTTTTTGTTGATAATCATCCGTCGTCACCTTCGCTGGTCACTAATCCTATTTTGAAAAGAATATCATAAAGTAGTGGATTGCTTGAAGAGTTCTCCAGTTCTATGTCACTAAGCTGGTTGCGTTTTCATATGTGTGCTTGAGTTCACGACAAAAGGTGTTGGTGCGAGTCGTCATCTACCGCTCTATCGTACGGCCAATGATCTTTCCTGTCATGTGGAACAGAACGAAGAGTCAGCTGAGGGTCAGTGCATGGATATTGGGAAGAATTCGCAACCACTGTGGTCTTCCGCAGTGAGGAAGTGCTAAAGTGATCAGCGCCGTTGACAGTGTTTATTTATTAGCAATTTCGTAGCGATTTGATAAGAAGTGGAGTCGAAAACAATTGTTGCAGCTGAAGTTAATGCTAGTGTTTGTTCGTTTCGAGGATCCATTCAGGATCATTCGGGCAGTTCTACTGAATCCGACTCGAGACGGTTGCAAAAACCGACATCGAGAGATTGAGCGGCTGTGAGCAATCGACACGAATCAGTCCGCATCCGAAAAAGGCGACGCACCGACACGTCAGACGAATAAATATTCTTAGCATTTTTTTGCTAGCTAAACACTAAGAAAACGGCATTTCGCCTATTGCTTCCTAGCACCAGCAATTTTTCCAGAGTTTAAAGAGCGTTGATGAACCGTGGGCCGAGTTAACCGCAGTGCTTAAAGGAGTCGTGCAACCCGAGAGCCGAACCATGTTTTTAACAACCACGCCACTTTGGCAAAGCGTTTTGGTTTAACTACTAATTATTGGGCAAAGAACAGTTGATTGATTAGTGATTAGTATTAATGGTTGATGGTCAGAAGAATTAGGAGAACAAGATGAGCTTTCATCGAATTCTTTCAGAAAGACTAATATGATTGCGCAAATTATTGGAAAGAATGCCAAACCTTAGAGCGCTCTTCGCCATTTTTTTAAACGATATTGATTATGAGTGATTGCTGATGGCATTGGCAGGAAGAAAACGAGGGTGAGAGAAAGTCGAAAAAAGGACTCGTGTCGGTGTCGTAATGGACTCGTTAGCATCCGGAAAAGGTAATAGTGGCGTATTCGATTCGTACCGCGGGCACCAGAGATCCGGAGTTTTCCAAAAATATCAGCACGACCAAACGAAAGCTACTTAAAATGTTTACATTCCTTTGAATTTGGAATTTGAAGGTGAGTAAAATCCATGGTTGGAGCTTTTGCTTAGTCACGCTTTAGGCACTGAGGAGAGATGCTCGTAATCGAAAGAACTCTTCGGAGTCTCTCCGTTGTTTCGAAATGTTTGCATGAATAATTATTTGGCGTAACGACGCNATTTGCCTTCATTTTCATTTACGTTTTGCGGTTTTTGTATTTTCGAAAAGGAGTCGGATCACGTTGTGCCTCTACTGACAAGCTTTTCTTTGCTGTGGGTACTGAAAGTTCTCCAATCTAGTCAAGTGGTTTCGAGTGCTACATATACCTTAAAGCTTAACGGGTTCGCATCTCTTAGCAAATCCGCTAGAAACTACTAGATTTTAATGTGTAGACGAAGGAAATGACACTTCTTGCGTTTTTTCGAGGTCTGAGCATTTACGGAAGCGCTAGAAATTTGCCGTGACTTGTCAAACATCCGCTATGTTAAGTGGAAGAAATCTGTAAGATAGAAGAAGTATTCACGAGGTATGAAAGCTCCAACAGAGGAACTAGAAATTACTAAAACCATAAGAAATTTGTGGAAAAATAATTGCTTTTGTGAGGAATAGGAGTCCATGGCTAGTAATAAATTAGATATTATCGCTCGTTGTCCTCATCCAATTTCTGTTTAAAGTCGGCTCCGTCTAAGCTGAATGGCACGGCTGCCGAGATGTCTGGCTCTGTCGAGAGAATAGCACCATAGGATTGGAATATGGAGATCGACTGCATTGGGGAAGGAACGGAAACGCTCAGAACTCGGCCGCCAATTTTCAACAAGTTATGGTTTTTCACAGCAGAGCTAGCGGTTGGTTGTTTTCAGTGCTCTATCACAATGCAATTTTTATTTCATTTCGCCCACAAACCCTCCTAGTTTAGGGTTTCCCAATAAAAAACAGCTCACATTCTCCTTTGGGTATAGGCTGGGTGCGCAGCGTGAGGACCCGAAGCGCAGCACTACAATAGGCGTTCACTTCACTGTTCTCTCACACGACTGCTGTCTGCAATCCTGTGATTGGGAACATTTCTGGGCGCCGAAAGGAGGGAAAGGACAAGTCAAAGGAGGCGTCAAGCGCTATCGTGAAGTGCTCGGGAACATCATGCAAGAAATTACCAAGCAGGCGATTCATCATCTCGCACGTCGCGCTGCAGTGATGCGCACCATAGGGCTTGTATGTGATGAAATTCGGGAATTACTGAACGTGTTCCTCGAGAACGTTATAAGGGATGATATGAGTTACTGTGTACAAGCGATGGTAAAACCGTGATGGCTGTGGATGTGGTCTATGCTCTGTAACGCCGTGGGCTTACGCTGAGCCGTTTCGGAGGATAGTCAAGTCTATAGCAATCGATATACTTGGCCAAGAGGCCCTCTTTAGGGCTAGATAAGATGCAGATGAAATGTGTCGTTGTTAGTGCGGTTTAAGAGCGTGATGAGATGAAGATTGTTGCTGAACATGTAACAACAACACAACATACACGCGCACGCATACACATATACGCACACACAGACATACACACAAACACGCAAGAATTTACGAGCTTGTAGAAGGAAAAGATATGTATGAAATAGAGTTTTAGAACTGCTAAATAAAAAAGGACGTTCAAGAAGCTGTGGCAAATGGAGGTCGTGTAGATTTAAGAAAAGTGGAGAGCACTTTGCTATAAACTCTGCTCTGGAATTCGGTGCAACAAAAACGAGGCTTATTCTCATTCAGTAGATGGTACTGTCCACTGTAATTTTTTTGTTCTGGCAAGTTATTAAAGTAACATTTGCTATCACTGTCAGGTAGGTGAGAGGAGGTACTTTGATCCGATGACACGTCTTGCAGTGCTAAAAATTTTTATGAAATGAAAGTACGAGTCTTGGCATCGTTCGGAGTACTCATAGGACCTTTCGCCAAAGAATCACGGATTTTAGTGAAGTCAAATCGAAGAGAAGCCGTTCATTAACGATTTTTTGGACTATAGAAAACATGGCCACAACGATGCTGAGGTAATCTCATAAGTTGAACGCTTGGCCAGATCGAGCCACGATTTCCCTTTACGGGAGCTCGTGCACTACACACTGCGCCACGGAGGCCCTTGCTCCGCGTTTCTTTCAACTAGTTTTGTACCTAACGCTGCTACCGACAGTCACCCGTCAGCGGTATTGAAAATTGAAAATAAAAAGCTAAAAAATTATAGTAGGCAGGAAATAAAGACTTAACATTGTAGACTTTTCTTCCACCACTACTTAATAAAATTGGACCAGTAAAAGAAGAAATTTGGCAAATCTATGGATCGAGTTTCTATTAATGTCAACACTGCTCAATAATTCACTGTTTTCTTTTTGAGAATGTACAGATTGTCGATAACAAGATATTTTTACCAGTGGGTGATGTTTCGACGGTTTCGCCTTCTTCAGGGCGTTGAAAGGGCGAAGCAACACACTATCCGCTCAGCTGAGCAGATTCATAACCTCAGCAGATAAGATTTGATGCACAAATTCTCATTCGCATAAGGGATTCTTTTGTTGCTTCACCAACAACGATCATGTGAGAAAGGCCTTCAACGATTTCATCGCTTTCAGAACTCCGGAATTTTAGGTAACCTTGTGAGTGCAAAATCAAACCAGTTAACCTTGTACAGGATTCTCCCCGTTATTGCAAGAACAGTGAATAGACCGAATCGTCTAGAAGGGTATTCCATAGCTAGAAGGTTTGTTTCTTTTCCTTTTTTATCAGAGTGTAACCGCAGGAATACATGAAAACGACTTCATACTGAATTCCTCTCAGAACTCCAAATTGTGGGCTATGAAATATTTAGAGCAGAGAAGCAGTGACAATCATTATTGTAAAACGCCATACAACGCCAGTTTCATTAAACACTGTAAATGCCATCCTTAACCAGACGAAAATGTTTGGATGATTGTTGTTTAGTGTCGTATCTGAAAGAAACACAAAAATTGTCGGAGATAGAACGAAAGCGACAGTAGATTTTTGTTCGGCCGTCATTACATCTATGTATTAATATTCTACACAGGTATACAAATAGGCAGAAACATTGACAAACTAGCACGAAGTTGTTACAAAAAACTCAACTCAGTTCAAACGCATTGGCTTTTTTCAAAGCTTCGGTGATCCTACTGGTTGCTACTACAGCCTGGCGATGTGGAATTTCACTGTCACATTAGTCTTTCTTTTGCATGCTGGCAGCTTAACGCGTTCGTGAGGACGCTGGTTTTTCAATAACCGACGATAATTTCTCGATCACTACAGTAAATAAAGAGTTCAGAAACGTACAGATCCATGAAAGGAACTTTTCTCAATCTTACTAATAACGTGCATATTCTTCGGTCTGTGTCTTTCCCAATTCAAGTGCGTTTGGAACTAACTTTCAAAAAACTAACAATGATATTTAAATTGTTTTCCAACAGCGAAGGGCAAGATGAGCACAGAAACAAGACACTGGAAAACATCATCATGCCATCTTCGTCGAAATAGCGTTTGTTCATTTCGCTTCATGTTCGAAATGTAACATTAGAAGCAATAAAGTGGTAGATGCATAGACCACGAACTCCGGAAAATCAGACTTTCGTCGCCGTAAAATAAGGAAGCTTTGTCTTTTAGGCAAAGATCTGTGGAATTTAACGGCTTTTATTGCTGCAGGAAAGTTCACATTGAACACTTATTTTTACACCGTGTGACCTCCATAGAGTAGCCCATCGTCGCTTAATCGCACTCAGTATCGTCCCTCTTCTCTCCTTCTTCTCGATTTTTGCTCAACACTCACTAGAATGGTCCTTAATTGTTTTTCTCGACAAATTTTCTAGATAAATTTAGAAAATGAGCAAGGCAAAAATAAATGGAACAAAAAGGCAAAAAAGACAAATAGAGAAAAGAAAAGCGATGCTACCTGCATTTTCGAGGTCTTCTTTCTCTTCACAATCGGATTGATTCTAGACGACTCTCCAAAGGTGCTCATCCTAGGGATGTGCCGTCCATGGTCTCGTCGAGTGGAACCCTCTGACGAGAAGTACGGTTTAAATGAGGCCATCTATCTCACTCGGCGATGCCTTTTTATACAGAGAAATTGTTGACTGACTGTTTTCCCGTCGATAATTGTTTGTTTCTTACATGACTACGATGTGTTGGTGGTTGATTATACATTATTACATGATAATGCATCATTGTTACAACGAAATGTGTTTTCACTTCATCTAAAACAAGCACTGAACATAGTGTGGTAGCAAACACGTAACATTTGATAAGTAAAAACGAGGCAATTAAACAATGAAATATCTTCTGTATCAGCTCTCGATAGACACTACCTTAAAGCTTCGACGCCCAGACGGAATAGTTACAGATTACGGAGAAGTGATGAAGCAAGTCATTCGCGATTACAACTCAGCTTTCTCCAATAGCCACGTAGCCTGCCTCATATAAAATAAAGTAGGCTGGATATACAGCAAACTGGACGAACGATCGCCATGTGAACAAGGCAGAATTTCGAGAAGAATTTGGTACAATGGATCACATATACATGATGAAAAGGATAATCAATTATCACGAGGATGAAAGAGACCGCTCTGTTGATTCAAAGAAGTCGCTTGCCAAATTTGAGATAGAAGCAGTCATGGAAGCCTTGGTCAAGCAGCGCTATTCTCTACTCAAAGTATAAAGATCCTTCATGAGCTATATAAAAATTCCACAATCAAAATATCAGGGCACAAAAGCATAACGGCGATGATTTTGAAGTGAACGTGCGGATCCTAGCGCAGGAATCAAAAGCACCAACGCGCAAAACTCTTGAGGCGTTTTGGATAAATTTCAAAAATCCAAAGATGAACCAGAAGGACGAATACCTCACTATCACGCTTGACCTGGCGCTCTATTTCAAAATGCTATTTTGACCCCGGGGCGTGTCTTGCTCGCGACCCCACGTGAACTACGTGTGGGCCAGTCTCGCACGTAACATCACGGTGAGTGGCCTTTCTGTTCAATATGGCTTCTATTTGAAAGTTTGATCTTCATTAACACTTTAACCTTTCTTTTCCACCGAATAATAAAAACATTCTAAATTGAATACGTCCAGGCTCTGAGGAAGACGAAGTCGCCGAAACATCAGCCGTCGATCAATAACATCAAAAACAATGACAACGACGACGAAGGTCTGTACCAACCTCGCGTCAGCTTAAGAAGATCAGTTTATAAGATCACATAAATAAATATATCAACTATCTATGCCGAGGTTTATAGAAAGTCGGTCTTTCGAGTTATCAAAATATCAGCATTGCAGAAGAATAGAAACACCGAGTAAGAAGAGGGGTTAGGCTACGAGATACCACCTCGAGATAATTATTTACTGCCACTCGCCAGAACGTTATGCGCACATTGGAATAGGACAACATGGGGATGAAAGTTAATGGCTAGAAAGTACACCATCATTGCCTTGCTGATGACATCGTTCTTGTAAGAGCAATCATCAGTCAGGCGGAACAATTGCTTGCGGACTTTGATAACGCCTGTAGAAAGATTGCTTTTCGTCTAAATCTCACAAAAAATGCCCATGGAGACCGACAGCTTTCGTACACCCCATTCAGGCGCAATGGAATGAATATATACGGATGCACCAGCTACGTCTATCTGGGTCAAGAAATCGACATGATGAGCGACTTCGATCCACTGTTGAGAAAAGGAAGGAACCTGTCTGTGGAGCTTTCGAGAGCGCCAAGGAAGCAGTGAGAAGAACAAAGAACACCCAACTTCTTTACTCCGCGATTCTGCATTGCCTTAGCGTACGCGTCAGATATGGTCGATACGCAAGCAACATGAAGGATCACTCAGCGTTATAGAACGCGTAAAGGAAAACTACGATTTCGACCAACGCCAAAGTTCAAAAATTGGACATGCCGTTCTACACACACATTGTCGAAGAAAATGTGGGTGGGACACGTAGTGCGTATGGGTGACAACCAATGGACGAGATCCGTAAACGACTGGATTCCCCGAGACTTCAAACCCGCAACAGGAAGGCTACCGACCCGATTGCCGAAGTTCTTCACCAAACCCTAGGAGAACGGTATGAAGCTCAACTAGCCTCTAGAGCCTGCAAAACTTGTTGAACTACTCTTCCACGTGACAGAGAGTGGCAACTTTACTAGTGCGTACTCGAGTCAGTCGACGCTCAACAGAACGACAGATCATATGGGTGAACGAACCATAACATCTCAATAGGTGTGACACAATCATTTATTCGTTGAGAGCTGTGGAGTTTGTCCATAGGCTTTAAACAAGATTTCCGGAAATAATGACCCAAATCTCATTTAAATTATTGCTTGTTCGAAAAAATAATAAACATAGCTCGTATGAAATGCTGAGATATTTGCAGAACTCCGGACCACAGGTGTATGCAGTGGGGAACGAACACGCGCTGTTGTCCTTACCGGGGAGCAGCGCACTTCACCACTACACCATCCGGGTCCTTCGCTTTGCATGTCTCTCAGCTAGTTCTATCGATCTTTTTGCCATCAGCAATCACCCGTCAACGGGATTGATCTGGGGAGTCAATATCGGCATTGAACCCAGTTAAGCTGAGGCTTAGTTATAATCACAATCTTAACTCTTTTATTTACTGCCTTTTTCTACTTAATGGCAGGTTATGTTTAGAATTATAACTCGTATGAAATGCTGAGATATTTGAAATAGAAATATCTCAACATTTCATAGGAGTTATAATTCGAAACATAACCTGCCATTAAGAAGAAAAAGGCAGTAAATAAAAGAGTTAAGATTGTGAATAAACATAGCTTTATTTTCATGCCCGACTAATCGTACTGTGAATAGCATTGGTGGTGTTGTAATAAAGGATAGAGGATAAAGCTCTCGGCGTTGATCAATACTCGAAGGATGCGCCATGCATTCGACTTCATTGAGTATGGTTGGAGGTGATTGAATGCAAAGCTGGCCTTTATAATGACTCGTGGTGGTCTACCGATGTATCGAGCCAGTGCTGCTATCCTCCCAGACAAGCGTGGTATCAATTTGCCGACCCCGGAGGGATGGAAGGCCTGGTGCGCCCTGGGCGCGAGGGTCGATTCCACGTGTGTGTCGCAGTGGCGCCTCCAACCACTGCGCCCACTGGTGTTGTAATGGCTCCCGAAAAATGATGGATGTGGAAATATTTCACTGCTTAGCACTTAGTAGAGGGTGCAGCAGGTGATGCTGATACTACAGGTGCGGCATTAGCACTTAGAAAACGGAAAAATATATAAGCAACCACTTCAAAATGTGCGCAAAATGTTAAATATTAATTTAAACCAAAAATATTTCTGTTAATATTAAATGAGCATAGACTAGAACACGAATAGTTCAAGGCTCATTGGATGCACGTCATACAGTAAATCGTTCATAGGATCACTGAACGATAATTCAGACAACGATGATGAATTCCATCCATTCAAATGTTGCATGATCGTTCTCTTCGAGCTTTTCAGTGGCTGCCAGCGAGCAAACGTTTGCACACATATTCATGGTCGAGGCCTCTGGTGACTCGACGTCTTTCACCACATCCGAACCGATGACGTCGTTGACTGGACATGCTACCCTGAAAGCGAAACACCATCATACACCGTGAAGCAAAGAGGTACTAAGACAAATTTTCCATTTTCTATTTGTTTTCGTTCGTTTTTATTATTTTTTTGTTCATTTTCGTTTCATTTTAAGTCATTTCTATCAATTTTTGTTCACTATTTAATTCATATTACATTTTTGCTTATCTTTTATTAGTTATTTTTTATTTTATTTCATTTTCGTCCATTTATTTTTACCTGACTTTCTATTTTGTATATAATTTTTATTTGCTTTTTGTCTACTTTTATTTTTCCTTTAGTCTTTGTTTCGTTTTTATTAAATTTTTCATTTATTTTCTATTCGATTTTTTTCTCTATTTTTTACTTAGTTTTTCAATTTTTCAATTCTTGTTTTTCAAAATTCAAATGTTCAATTTTTACACATTTTTAATTTAAATTTTATTCAATTTTGGTTTAAATTTCTTTGTTTCTTATTCATTTTTCTCTAATTTTATTTGATTTTATCTAGTTTCTATTTAATTTTTGTTCGGTTTTTATTAGCTGTTTGCTTATTTAATGTTGTTTGGTTTTAATTGGTTCATTTATATCTAATTACTTCTTGTTTTTATTAATTTTTTGTTAATTTCACTTATTTTCAATTTCCTTTATATTTTCTTAAATTTGTTTTATTTATTTTCTATTTTTATTCATTATGTTCTACATACTCCAACTAACCGAACTTCCGTACCCCAGGAAACCAAAAATGGTCCAACCACCAAACCTCAGTACCTCGTAGACTGCACTCTCATGGCTACTACGTAGAGCGGTAGGCAATCGATTAAAGGTGATCAAATCTCGGGTAGCACGGTGTTGTATTAGAAGCGGACTGTTTAACTTTTATTTAATTTCATTAATTTGTTTTTTTCATTAACTTTTAATTTAATTTTATTCATATTTCGCTTATTTCCCATTAATTTTTATTTTAAAAATAATCTATATGATAAACGTAATATAATAATTAATGTAATTATATAATGATAATACATTTATATAATACATAACATAGCAAAAATAATTTAAAAGATTTATTTTTTGTTTACTTATTTTTTATTTAATTCTATTTATTTTTTATTTATTTTCTATTTATTCTTGTTTAATTCTTACCTGTTTTCGTATAATTTTTATTTAATTGATTCATTTTTGTCTTTCTTCAATTTTCACTCAATTTTTATTTAAATTTTATTTTCTTTTCGTTTAACTTTCATTTAATTTCAATAATTTTTTATATGTTTTTATTCATCTCTTATTCAGTTTACTCGTTGTCTAGCTTTTATGTTTTTTGTGTTTAACTTTTCTGTTTTTATTTCTTTTCTATCAATCTTTAATTATTTCCATTTATGTTTTATTCATTATTTATTATGTTATACACGATTCCGACTGACTACAAAAAGTCTGTCGAAAACCTTTGTGTGGCTAAATAGGTCAGAAAAAATCCAACGCATTGAAGTTAAGACGGATGGTCCTAAACGTGGAAATGCGTACATATCGAAGTCAATACGCATAGCCAAAAGGGTTAAACTGTGTTTGCCGTGTCGATAGCCAACACTAGCCGAAGATTTCTCCTGTTCTCCCACCCACGGATTTCTCAACACATGGCACTAGACGTTCAATTTCAGTACACTACTTTATGAGAGGGCTCCCAGTTCTAACGGTCACTGTCTTGCTGGGTTTTAGGCAAAAAACAATGGTTTCTCGACAAACAGGGAGCTGAGAAGTCTTGAGCACCACGGGACTCCACAATAGCCTGCTCCACTATAGGGTACCCACGGTGTGTATACCTCTTGTTATTATATTTCACGTTATTATGACTCATCATGCAGTGGCATTCGAAGCTGTTTCGCAACGGATGTTCTGCTTGTTTCGGTGTTTATAGTACCAGCACATTTTAAAGGATACCACTTAATATGTTGTGTGCAAATAAATCGTTAACATATATAGCTGGTATCTGTAGGTACGGTACCCACACTCCATGCAATGCCTACGAATCGTCATGTAGCAGGAATAAGCACAGGGGTGGTGCGCACTCACTGATGACTGGACTACTTGTTCGGAAAAATTCCAGTTCTTTGTTTTCTACCTACTTATTGTCTACTTCCGTTCCTAGATTTTTCATTGATTTTTATTCCTTTTTCATTCTTTGCTTGCGCTTTGATTTCTTATTTTTTAATTTTTTACTATTTTTTGTTCATTTGTTTATTTCCACATTTATTTGCTTTTGTTCTTTATTTGTTCATCTTTTGCTTTTATTTATTTCTATTTTTTACCCATTTCGTCATTTATTCCCTTTCATTTTTCATTTGTTTTTATTTATTTATTCATCTATCATTCATTTACTATTTTATCCATCTATTTTTTACTTATTTATTCACTGTTGAGGTAATAAAACATACCATATTGTTTAGACGAAACAGAGTGGTGCGCAAGTGGTGGTGGTGAGGGTGGCGTTATTCTATCGAAATGGTTCGATCCAAAGGGAATAATGGCCATAAGTTCGCCCATGGCAACAGGAATTCTAGTCACGTCGGTGCACCTCGACAATGCTGACGGCTGTCATGGTAATGGAACCCATTACCTACAAATTCGCTTATGAAGAAATACGAAACCGATATAAATTTGGATGGCAGGCGCGAAACAACGAATTAAAAAAGTGCTAATATCAAGACATCCCAACGGTTTACAGCTTTATCGTGGGTGGGTGGTGTTCCTGGGTGTCGGACTGCGATGTACAGCGGTAAGTTTCGACTCCTCAGTATGGTCTCCCAAGCTGAGGAGGAGTTCGGCGCTTCCATTAGGAAGCCTGGCTAAGAGTAAGCCAACATCAGTATTCACCACCGTCCTGGTATCAAAGCCGCATGGTGGCAAATCTCCCTCTGAACCACAAAGGTTGCGACTGCCTGTGGTGGTAACGACCTGAGGCAGACCTTCACCAGGCTGATCCCGGGATTCTCGGGAACCGCAACGGCTTAACTAGCAAATCTCCGAAAGGTGATGATTGTGCTGGGTTCCGCACGACCAGTGAAGACGGGCAGTTCAAGTATCAAGTAAATAAGGAGTATGCAAACAATTCATAAAACAAGTTAATATGAACAACTAAAAAATGCAGAATTAACGATATATGACAGCCTCTGGATTCAACATCTAACGCTCAAGAAAGAGAACCTGCATCTACCTCAATTTGCGTCTGTTTACAAAGGTGGGGTAACACGTGTAGCAATTTAGATACCTAGATACCTTGATTGCTAGTCCCTTTTAGTATTACGATTTAGTACGATGGACCACATCCACACTAGTTGTGTGGGCCCTGGCAAAATTTCCATTTTTTAGAGTTTTCCCGGTTCAGCCACCGGGCTGACCAGGAGTCCAAAGGTCATAGCTACGTCCACCTTCCGTAATATGAAATAAAGGAGTATGGATATTTTGTACCACCGGTTCTCCCTTCCGAAATCCGAAATGCCATTTCGTCGGTGAAAAATCGAACAGCACTAGAGCCGGAGAGGATAAGACCAGAACACCTATAGAACCTTCCGCAAGTTCTCCTAAACACGTTAACTCGGCTCTTCACACGTTACTTGTCCGAATGCATGGTTCCTACTCAGTGGAAGACCAGCAAGACCGTGTTATTGTTCAAGAAGGGTGACCTGCACGATATCGGCAACTGTTGCCCAATCTGCCTACTATCTGTCGTCTACAAACTTTTCACTCGAGTCATCCTAAACAGAATTGACAGAAGACTAGACGATGAACAGCCATGTGAACAAGCAGGGTTTCGAAGAGGATTTAGTACGATGGACCACATCCACACGGTAACACGGCTCACTGAAGTATCGCGAGAGTACAAAAGACCGCTCTGTCTCACTTTCATCAATTTACAGAAGGCCTTTGATTCAGTTGAGATAAAAGCAGTCTTGGAAGCCCTTGATAGTCAAGGAGGCCCTACTCAGTGCGTAAAGATTCTTCGTGAGCTGTACAAAAATTTCACAACGAAGATATCACCATTCTACAACGATATTAACATTGATGTCAAAAGAGGAGTTAGGCAAGGCGATACTATCTCGCCAAAATTATTTACCGCCACCCTCCAGAACATCATGCGAACATTGGAATGGGATAATATGGGAGCGAAAACCGATGGTTGGCAGTTACATCATCTTCGCTTTCCTGGTGACGTCGTTCTTGTAACACCAAACATTAGCCAAGCGGAACGTATGCTTGCCGACTTTGATAACACCTGTGGAAAGATTGATCTTCGACTAAATCTCACAAAAACAATGTTCATGAAGAACGTATTGCTTTCATATGGCTTATTCACGCTTAACGGAACCAATATCTCTGAATGCTCTAGTTATATCTATCTTAGTCGGAAAATCAATACGACGAACGACCTAACTCCAGAGGTGAGCAGAAGAAAACGAGCGGCGTGGGGAACTTTCAAGAGCATCGAGGATGTAGTAAAGAGGACAAAGAACTCCCGACTCCTTGCCCACCTTTTCGACTCAACGGTACTCCTGCCCTAACGTATGCATCAGAAATCTGGTGGCTGCCTAAGCGGGATGAATGATCACTCGTTATCGAGCGCGCAGTCGAAAGGACGATGCTAGGAGCATCCCGTTCCATACAAACAAGAGATGAGATCCGAAGCTCTGAATATATACTGGTGTCGCTGAACCTTGAATAAAACGCAGATGTACATATCGCTTTGATTTGTGGACATTCTTGCTAAATGCATTGATGTTTTCTTCATTTCCACACAATGAGATCATCAAAGGCTGGGAACACGAAGTGCCATAGGCTGTGTTGTAGGCTGAGTTGAAGTAGTTTTGTACGAATTGCATAATCTGTTCATCCTCTTCCTAGTGGAGACGAAAAGAGCTCCATGTTTTCGAATGTGATATTATCTATCTTCAGAAAAATAAAGGAGTGATCGAAAAAGTGGAAATCAACGAGAACCAATTGCTGTAATAACTCTCGATTCTCAATATTATGTCACCAGGCTTTTCATCCTTAGTATTCATCAAAATAATAAACACAGTTGGGCCAACCATGCCTTTACAGTATTACAGCGAAGCGTACGCATCCGGAA